AGAAATCCGCCACAACCACTTAGAAAGGAACGTCACATCTCTACTTTTAGTATTGTCCATGCCTAAACCACGATTGGTGGAGAGAGAGACCACTAACAAGATAGTACAATATAACATACTTCCAGCTTTTAGGATGTCTTAGAGAGAGATTGTAGAAAGAAGAAGAGAGAAAATGGAAAGGAAAACCTACGCACACCTCTACTTGGAATCCAATCACAAACAGATTTCATAATTTTGTTGTAGAGCTGACAGGTATTAATTGATGTATCTAGATCTATTTGAGTTCAGCAATTACATGAAAATAATACTCATAACCACATTTTATTTGGTACTTGAGAATTATGCTTGCTATCCTAATACATATCCTAAATATCTTCAAATATCACAAACAACAAAGAAAAAACTCTTGTAATTGCACCAGAAATAAGATCTCAAAGCAACTTCAAGATAGGTTAATGGTTACAACATCATCTAAACAAGCTAACCAAAAGAAAGCAAGTATAAATCAATTTTCCATCAGAAAAACAGCTAAAAAAATTTCAACCTCCTTTATATTGTGTGCTCATAAAGGATAGGGTTGGTATCAATAAAGTAGATTATGATCATTGCAACATCCATGCATAGTGATAAGAAAATTGGAAGACCTACATTTCCGTTCAGAAAGTGATTCAAACCAACATTATTTCCTGCATCAACTTTAGCAATATCATGGCACCAAATTTAAAACCAAAACGCTACCTTCTCAAGGCCTGCTACATAGGCTTTTGAATGAACGCTCACAATGTCATCAAATGAAGCAGGTTTGTAATTTTGAAGTTCAATAACATTTGAGCCTTGAAACTGCAATATATCATCCAATAAAGACCAAAACTAAGTAGAGAAGAAAAGGAATTCATTACCAAGAAAAAAAAATATAGAAGAGTGCTATACACCATGAAACTGGATTATATCAATTATGAGAACAAAATTATAATTTGAAATAGAAGTTTAAAATGTACCCTATTATCTGCCAAGAAAGAAAAAGGAAGAAGAATCAACATTAGGTGTTTATCAATCACCCGTGAAGGGAAGGTAGAGTAAAACTGAGTCTTTTTTTTCTAATTAATTTAGCTCATTTAATGAGCTAGTGTGTTAGACTACTTTTTCTTGCTGCCAAAGATACAAACTTTTATTGAAATAATGAAAAGAAAATACAAATTTCAAAAGATACAAACTCCCAAAGGGATTGAAAGAGAGCAACACAAGAAGATAAAAAGAGAACAAACTAAAGATGTGAAAATGAAAAAACAGAAAGTACAAGATGAAAAATAGAAGCAAGGTGCTGAGCAAGAAAGAAGAAACTTGACAAAAATGCGCACCCAAAAGTCAACATGTCGGCAATAAACTTCATCTTCAGGAAACCAGCTTCATAAATTAAACTTGTATTTTGCAAAAATTTTAGCATACCCTTTGGCTAACTCTTTTTTCCGCTCAGATTGCAACTCCAACTTTCTTCTAGCCCGATCTTCTCCACAAGAAACCATTTCTTTTTGCAATCTAACCAATTCCTTATTTAGACACACAAATACAAGTGTACAGTTTTTTTTCAATTAAAAAAACATGCCCTGAGAGCACGTTAGGGAATATTTGAAATCCATCAGAGAAACTTCGGGACATGTTTCACAATGAAAAGAGGAGGAAAAAAAAAGACAGTATAAAACCAGTCACACGAGAAAGAGAGAGGAGAAAGCAGATCAGCCTCGCGAGCAAGTGAATTTGTTATACTTCCGCAAGACCATTTAGAGGAGAGAGTAAGAAAACCTCATCAAACCAGTCACACTGAGAGGAGAGTGGGCGAATTGGTGAAAATAGAGACCTCCCCGATAGTGAATCAAACGCACAAGAGAGGAGAGTTAAGTGTGATTTGTTGGCTTCAGAATCTGTTTTAGTGCTTTACAATTTCTGGCTTCTGATAGTTGAAAAAACCACTTGAAATCAGGTTACCTCATTTTAAGTTGAAAGTAAATTTGATTTTACAATATATTCTCATTGATGGCTGGAATTTTAAGCTGAAAAGCGTGGATTATTCTTCTTCTCGCAATAGTGAATCATGACCTCTACCTCCTCAAATGTTAATGATGAATCAAAACCCATGTGACTAAATATCAAAGGATGAATGATAGGGTGAAACACTAGTTGCCTTCCAACAGATAAAACTTCGTTGGCACCATGGTTGGAACACTAGTTGAAAATAAGTAGTTAAAGGGATAGAAACATGTCCCAAGTCATTCGTAAGGCTATTGCTGCAAACAGTTGGAAGATGATGGAAAGATAGAAAATAAAAGAAATACTCCTCAAAATTTTCATTTACCATGTTCAACCCTATCTTTTGGTAGTATGAGTAACATTCCATTACAAGCATTGAACAAGCGAAAAGAAAGGGAACTGTTATTGCATTCTTTTTAGATAATTTCATTGATGTTAATGAAATTCCTGATACATAGGTCCTTATTTTAACAAGTGAAGAGTACAGTAAAGCATATCAGGTTTGGACAATATAAAAATTACACAGCATGACTGTATTACCTTAGGTGTGAGTTCCATATTTTCGAGAGCATTCACAATTGCAGGAACCCTAAGATGACATTCTGGATGAGATTCCTGTTACAGAAAATTTAAGGAACAAATCAGCCCAAGAGTTAAGCAGATTAACATGAAGACAAAAGCAGAAAAATCAATGATGGTCCATTAAGTTACTTCCACATTACAATATTAGAAAAGATATTAACTTCATTTCAAGGATTACAATACTTTCAATCCAGTTAAGCTACCAAAATTCCCTTTTCCATGGCTGTGAGAGATCGTTGTATCTGATAAAATATTACAATCCACTTCAACTCTAGAATTCTTATTGCAAGGATCAGGATGATTCTTTAGCCAGATTGTATAACTGACATCACAGCCTTCTACTTATATCAATTGCTTGAGCTAATAGATTTTTCCAAATAATGAAAATTCAGAATTCATTTATCATGCAATACTTTATGAAAGTTGAGACAGAAGTGATTATTCATCAGGCATTGATGAACCCCAAATAACCATGAATATTGAATAAATACACAAAAGACCATAAAATTACTTTTTTGCAATGTATATTGATAATACATGGTTTTAAGTAAAATCGGATCATATACCTTATTATGACCAGTGGCAGCAGCTACAGAATAAATAATTTTCACATTATCATAATGCGCCAATGGTTTGTCACTCAAACCAGACGAACAGAGTACCGCCACTCTATTAACTTCCAAACGATAATGTGTTTTACTTCTCGGTTGAATTCGTCGACATGATCTCTTTTGCCAAAAAATTGTATTCAAGGAAGCCCAGCTAAGAAACTCCCGAATCTCTAAACGGGGCCGAACCAAGCAAAATACATTTCCTGTTCAATTTACAATTCTCTTCAGAAATCCTTATCCAAATAGTCGAAAAAGCTGGTAAAAAGCCTGGGTGATGATTCATGTATAACTTTAATCTGTGGCCAAGCATGTCCAAACTAAAGTTATACATTGAACCCCACACCCAGTGGCCACACATGTGCTAGTCGACTTTGTTCATCAAACCCAGAACACGCACTTAAATCACATAAGGAATGAGCCTAAAAGTTTTCTAATCCACAAACCCATTTCGTCTCTGTTCTAAAACTCTTCACAGCGAACACCTAATATCAAACAAAGCTGTAAAACTCAAAAACGTTAATTTTACTTAAAGGTAGCCACCGAGCAACTTCGTGTACACATAAATAAGACAAACTGGGAAGAATCGGTGATGTCTGATCGTAAGTTTGTCGGCCAATCAATTGGAAACGAGGATACTAAAGGTACACAAGAACCCAGATCGATAAAATTAGTTCAATTCCCAAATCTAAATTTGAAATTTAATACAATCCACAGCGAAGAAGAGATTGTGAGAGAGACCTGCATAAGGTGATGAAGATGGAAGCAGAATGCGAAATTCCATTAGGAGAGATTTCAGTGACTGAACTGAACACGAACAGTTCAGTGCGCGCGAAATATGGGGCGAGCGCGGTAATGTGGAGAAGATGACCGAACTTGCAACCTGCCACGTGGCTTAATGGAAACCCAAGATTATTTCCGATAAATTCATTAATCGTGGATTGCATTTATTTTAGGTTTTTTTTCTTTACGTGAAAATTTTTAAGACGTGATTTGGATTGCTATATTTATTTTAAACGCAATATTGATGGTCAAAATACAAATAATTAAGACACCCTAATTAAAAGGTTCTCAGTTTCTAGTCTTTTGTAAATTTAAAGATTTAGTAAATATTTCTATTTCTTATTTTTTTTATTTTTCAGGAACGTCTAAAATTATGAAAAACCTTTTTAAGTAATATTTTGTTGGTTTTTATTTTTGTTTATAACTTTTTCTAAACATAAATAAAAGGCTAACAAAATGCAGAAAATAATCCACTTTACTATTCATACACCATATGACTTTTGTCAACAATTATTCTCAATTTGGTTGTTACTTAGCATTAATGATTAATGCTCTTGAATCAAACAATTGAAAGCACGAACTAATCTCTATACTCAACACATAATTGAAATTAAATTGTAAGCATTCATTTTATGAATAAATCAATACAATAAACTTTACTATCAAGTCCTTAATAAAAAAGATTTAGATGAAATTCTACGATAACCACCTCCTTAATAATTAATTTCTTTTCTATTTTCCTGTTAATGATCAATTTATTCATCCAAAATATTTACATATAAAAAGTGAGTAACAGTTGACCTTATATAAATTTGTAAACATTAAAAGTAAATTGTTGTAGAACTACCATGTTATTTTTATTATGATGTTTCATTGATTTTCTAAAAATCAAAACAGCACAGTTTATCGATAATTGATATATAACTCAAACGGAAGGTATAAACAACTTTCTAAAATAATACAAGCAAAGTCCAAATTTATCATAGATCCTTTTTAAAAAATAAAAAATAAATAAATAAATAAATAAACCAGACGTGAAGAACATGAACACCTTGAACAGATATAAACGCCAACGTTGCAGACTAGATAAGGTAAAAGATGGATTATATTATTTGTTTAATTGAATTGTAGATTGAAGAAAAAAACTGGAAGCCCCGTTATCTCTTCCCTTTTGTTTCTATTGCAATCTCCATTGGAAATCATCAGTCCGAACATCCTCTCGGTCCGGCCATGGCTTTTCAAGCGAGAAAAGCAACGAAGATCATCCCTCACTTTGGAAACAGGATGATGAATTTCTTGGGTTCGATTGAAATGGGTTTCGCGAGCTCTTATTATGCAACCCAGCTTCACAAAACTCCATTTTCGGTTCAAAAGATCGGGAATGGAGTCGTGGGTTTCGAAGATATGCCTACCCATTTATCTGCTCGTCGTTTCAAATCGATTAAAGTGGAAAAACGATTGGATTCTGTCAACGATGATCGTGACAATCAGGTAGACTACATTCTGGTGCTGTCAACTTTGATTCCATCTTCCAATTTTATAATCCCAAATCATTTTTAGATTGTTGTTGCTCCTGTCATGCGTTGAAATGGCTCGTAATTTTTTAAACGTTATTCGAAAACTGTGTTCTCGGAATCGGCATCTAAAAAGTTCCTTTCCCCTAAAAGAAAAGTCATACGTTGACAAGTAACTCTAGACTTTGAACTGTACTTTTTATTTTCCATTCTGCTTGTCATCCCCGCTCCCCATTATTCTATCACAGAACAGATCCAGTGGGGACGGGGTGGGACCTGTAGCTCAGAGGATTAGAACATGTGGCTACGAACCAGAATGTCGGGGGTTTGATTCTTGATCAGAAAGCGGTATGCTTGGGAAGACCATTTCTGGTCGAGACGTGTTAATGAAATCAATCCGTGAAATAAGGTCTCGTTCATTCTTGGGGTGAATAAATAGAGACTACTTGGAAATTCTTTTTCTTTTCTTTTCCTCTTTATCTTGCCGAGATGAATCTGAATGGTTGGTGATCGTGAAGAATGTTGCTAGTCAGAGAAGAAAATGAGCTTGAGAGCAAAAAGGAGACCTTATGTAACTTGTAATTTGATTGGTTTGATGGGTATTTTAGCTTCAATAGAGGCCATTTTTGCTTAAAATTTTCAGGTCAGGTTATTCCTTAATCTTTGTTTATTAAGGTGCCCTAAGTCACAAGTCAATATGGTATTTCCATTTCCGTATTCTGGAAAAGTTGTAATTTAATTTTTTTAATCATCTAGTATAATATATGTTCAAGTTCAATAGTCAAAGTTCTGGGGTCAAAGTGCCCATTCATATAGAGATTTCTTCCAAAGGCTCATCGTTTGTGTACAAGTTGATGATATTTGATGTCAAGTGCTGAAAGTGAAACTTGCATTTATGGTACAAGGTTTTGGAGTTTCCAGGAGGAAAGGTTAGATTTACTCCTCACATGAGTTTCATCCCTGATCGCGACAAGGAGCGGATACCCTGCTTTCGAGTTCTCGATGACAACGGTCAGGCTAGTATATTCAGTAATTTTACACAGGTAATTCTATGCTGAACATGTCCTGTGATGTCTCTCTCTCTCTTTCTTGTCCCAACTTCAAGTGCAAAGGAAGGAACTTACGAACTTGATACTACTTTTCATTTAGGTGAGCAAGGAGGTTGCTGTAAAGATGTACAATGACATGGTTACTCTCCAAACAATGGACACTATCTTATATGAAGCGCAAAGGCAGGGAAGAATTTCCTTTTATCTGACCTCCATTGGAGAAGAGGCAATCAACATTGCTTCTGCAGCAGCACTGTCATTGGATGACCTTATTGTACCACAGGTTACAATTGCATATCTCCCCTTCATCATCCTCCTTAGTAATATGAAGTTAATTCTTATCCTCAAAGACAAATGTGAACAAAGACAAAGGTGCAACATGCTCCCGGGGGCAACCTCGGATGCATAAGATGTTTACGATATGTGAAGTGGTGGCTTGCGACCTGATACCAGGGATATTAACAGGAAAAAATAGACAAATGCGCAATACTGTTCCCTTGAATTAACATCTTACCTAATAGTTGACATGAATGAGATTGATTTGTAAGTCTAATTCTCCCATGTCATGCAGTACAGGGAAGCAGGAGTACTTATATGGCGTGGTTTCACTTTGAAAGAATTTGCAAGCCAGTGCTTCGGAAACAAAGATGATCATTGTAAAGGGAGGCAGATGCCTGTCCATTATGGGTCCAAAAGATACAATTACTTTACTGTAGCATCAACAATCGCGTAATATTCGAGCTCAATATGTCAAAACTTTTTAGTAGATCTTCTAACACTTCCAATTTTATTCCTTATATTTTACTTTTACTTATAGTTCTCAAATCCCTCATGCCGTTGGTGCTGCATATTCAATGAAGATGGAAAAGAAAGATGCTTGTGCAGTCACTTATTTTGGTGATGGAGGAACAAGTGAGGTAAATAATCCTAAAAAAATTTTAGTGTTAGAACTGTTCCATCTGCTGTTACCTCAGAGAGAAGACTTTTGAGGGGATGTGCTATTCAAGTTGAAAATCAGCCACACTCACGACCTTCCTTGAATAGGATATGTTCTATAGGTTGTACTACTGTATTATTAAGTTGTAAATCAGTCCATCAAATTTGGTTGATACTTATGACTGCAGAGTCTTCCGAGTTTTCGGGTTGATTTTTCTATTGTCTATCTGATATATCATGTTATATTAGGGAGATTTCCACGCGGCTTTAAATTTTGCAGCGGTTTTGGAGGCGCCTGTTATTTTTATTTGTCGGAACAATGGATGGGCAATCAGTACTCCTATTTCAGACCAGTTTCGGAGTATCTCATTCTTCTCTGAATCTGCAGTTGTAAAGAATGTACCATGAAATCTAGAGTTTATTGTTTTGTCATTTTGCAGGTGATGGTGTGATTGTGAAGGGTCGGGCTTATGGAGTTCGTAGTATCCGTGTCGATGGTAATGATGCACTTGCTGTATACAATGCAGTTCGAGCTGCTCGAGAAATGGCAATTCAAGAACAAAGGCCAATATTAATTGAGGTAATAACAATTTCACTATTGCACTCTTGAAATGCACTTTGAAGATCTGATGCCTTTTTGTCAGCAGGCTCTCACATACAGAGTTGGACACCACACGACATCAGACGACTCAACCAGGTATCGTCCCGCTGAGGAAATCGAATGGTGGAGGGTAGCAAAGGACCCTGTATCTAGATTTAGGAAATGGATTGAAAGCAATGGTTGGTGGAGTAATGAGGCAGAATCTGAGCTTAGAAGTAGCCTAAGAAAACAGGTAAAGTTTATTTTCAGAATAAGATATTTCCAGAGAACAAGATAGTTTTCAACTCAAATTTATAATTTGCCACATCAAATGAATTGGGTTAAAAATAACACATTAAACTAGGTAAACAAGAACAAGATAGTTTTCAACTCAAATTTATAATTTGCTGCTCTATTAGTCTTCTTCACCAGAAACCCCAACCTTTATATATTTAGCAGATCCAAAATTGAATACTACAAAATGATTGGACATTTGGACAGAATCAGGTGAAAGTGAAACTTTTTTACTTTTTCAAAAAATTCTTTTGGATTTTTAGTCAACTTTAAAAAGTAAAAACATATTCTTGAAAGTTACTTCTCTAAAATGCTCTTACCGGGTAGATTACAAAACGAAGAAACATATTTCCAGAAACCAAAAATAAGATGGTTATCAAAACTATTAACTACTGTGTACAGTTCCTAATTCTTCATGTTTTTGGTTCCTACAGCTATTAGAAGAAATTCAGTTGGCAGAGAGGCGTGAGAAGCCCCCAGTGGCAGAGGCTTTCACAGATGTGTATGATGTTCCTCCCTCCAACCTCAAAGAGCAAGAGAGTTGGTTAAGAAAAACAATCAAAACACACCCGCAAGATTACCCATCTAATTTTCCTCTGTAACCTGACTAGGTTTTGGAACTCTGCCTTAAAAATTAGGTTTGCTTTCCCCAACCTGTGGTTAAAGCAGTTAGAGAGAGGTGAGAATGGTGGCAGTGTTTGCAAATAAAGGACAAATAAGGCATCCTGTCTAAATAAAGTTATCCTTCTGCGAAGAATGTCATATTCAATATACAAACTGATAAAAGAAACCACCAAACGGATCAAAATTGAATCAAAACTTGTCAGATCTGTTCAAATTGAACCAACCAACTGACTAATTTTCAGTACTTTGTTTAAGAAAATCAAACTAACCAATATGTATATGTTAGGTCCCCAATTGTCAATATCTACTCTAGAAGGGGTAAAAAAGAGAATTCCTCACCCTTGGATAGTTAGCTGCAGGTAAGAAAAGTAGCGGGTAGGGTTAGCCTTGAGATTGGGTTTACTTGTTCTAATTGGGGAAGTAAGTACTAAGGTAGTAGGAGAGGTTTGCAACCCTCTCGAATGGTTGTTTTTCTTCGTTGAATTGCTTGCAGATTGCTTGCAGGTTGTTTGTTGAGGTGCGCATAAACTAGTCCAGATAATGTCTATCAGAAGGAAAAAAAACATATATATCAAAACATAAGGTGTGATAACTTACAGTATACTTCAAACTGACTGGTCTTTTGGTTTTCTGCTTACTCCCCAAACGAATTAGTCAATCTAAAGAAATGTTGACAATCTAATTTGCATACGTTAATCCACCATTATGATCATAAAGAGAGGGCATAACCCAAAAACAGAAGCTCTTATTGATAATTCTAAGATTTGTTCGTCTGAAGAAAGACAGCCAAACTTGTGAAAGAAAAGGATTCAAAGATGAAAACAAAATGAACAGAATCGAGAGTAAAAAAAATCACAAGGTTGAAGTAGCTGTCTGTTGGAGAGCTTCTTGAACTGCCTTGAGGAGTGATGGCATCAGTCTCTGGTTTGTAACAATGATACCCTCGTGAAGATCCAGGTATCTTCCTCTTGAGAAATCCAGTGCATTACCTGCTGCATCCGTAACCAACCCACCAGCTTCTGTAGATTTTTCATTGACAACAAAATGTCATAATAAAGCGAGTAAACATCTATTGTTTATGTTCAAAATATAGTAAACTAACATAATCATTTAAATTATTGAGTCTAGCGATAATTTAACATGTATTAAAGTATAGGTGCAACGTTATTTTTTCTCCATATCATTAATGTTCAATTTCCACACCAAAAAGGAAGCGTCAGAATATATTAATGATAAATCAAAATGAATGAATCTGAAATTTTATTCACATCACCTGTAACAACAATGCATCCAGCAGCATGATCCCAAATCTTTTCACGGTATCCTTTGTGAGGAAAACGAAGGTATATGGCTCCATCTCCTCGTGAAAGGGCACCATATTTTGCTTGACTATCGATTCTAACAGGTTGTGCTTTGACGCCAAGTTTCTGTTTGGTAACTAATCGTCTCAGCAAACCACAGAGTATATCTTTCAAGGAATAAAAACACAATCGGTAGAGATCAAAAGTGGACAAAAAATGGCGTACTTGTGCAATAGAGCTAGTGAGATCATGCAAAGAGTGAGCAGCTTCGTATGATTCAAAGAAGGATGCTTCTTCAGGATTATCAGTAGCACTGACACTCACCTAAAGTGCAACAAAATGCCTCATGATTTCAATTCCCATTTCAAACTGAAGAAAGAAACTTCTGAAAAGAGCTTAATCAACATAAGAACCTTTGTTAATGTAGAACCGGTTAGCGACTGCATATATGTTCCTGCACCAACTGTAGAAAAGAAAAGGCAACCAACATCTCCAAGAAGAGAATGCTGATTGCTGCTACTAATTGGTTCCAAGGGAAGATTTGGACAGGCTAGGACACCTAATACTACTTTCCCTTCATCAAGCAATCCCAACGCAATAGCATATTGGTCCCCTCTTAGAAATCTAAGACACAGAGACACGTGCACATGCCAATAGGCAGATAAGTATACGTGGATATCAGTAAAATATTAGTGAAACTCAAAAATAGAAATTTAGGAACTATAATTGATTGTATTAAATGAACTTCTCCTGAAAACACCATCATCCTATAAAAGTCCATCATCAACTATAAAGAGATTTCCTCAAAGGATAAAGCTCAAAACCCATACTTTAAAGCCCAAAATCTTCTAAATAAAAACTTCCAGCCTCTTTGATGTTACATGATCTTTATTTCAACTCCACTTACATTTAGGGTATTTGTAAAGATCAATTAGGGATGCGAAATAGAGAGATAGAGAGGAACTCTGATTTGCTAACTCACCCCTTGGTGCCATCTATTGGATCCAAAACCCAATGTCGACCAGTAGGACCTCCTTCGGACTTCCCATTGTCAATAGCCCTAAGCACATCTTCTGCGGTTAAGGTTAAAGAACTATATGATCCCTCACTGGAAAGTGTTTCATTTACAAGTTTCGAGATGCGCTGTAATGTTTCCTGACCAGTCTCTTTTCGGAGATCTCCTGAATCCTAGAGACTCCAAACTTCAAACTTATTTTGCTGAAATAGCTCAAAGAAATCAGATTCTATATACAATATAATATACTACATACTGACCTCCTCAGCTACCAAAGAAAAAGGTTCAGAAGGGAGTTCCTTTTCTAGTACGAAACTAACTAGCGCCTGCGAACCTGGAAATAGAAAAAGCAATAGAAAGAGTATGTCCAGTCAACCTCTGTCCTGTTAAGATAACTCTTTAAGCTGCAATGAAGCACGAATAGAGATTATTTATCTAGATCTTGACGCTAGAGCAGATGTTGGGAAGGGATACATCTTTCTTGAATAGAGTAATAAGAATCATGAGAAATTAAGAAAGCAGAAGATAAAAAATTAATAATAATGATTAATAACTTGCTAGAAATATCATTACTTCCATGCCATTGATATTTCATAAATTTGAGACCCTGATATTACTTTCTACGTCAACATTTATCTCGTACTTACACAATATGCATTCCATGGAAACTCAGAAAGGTATGGAAGTTTTCTTGAAGATGCTATACACAACAAAGTATTTGACGCTACTCGTCATCATACATACGTAGCAGCTATCTAAAATACAAAACAAACGTGAGATTAAGGTAACTGGAGCAAAATAAAGGTCCGAGCTAATATTATAATGAGGTATTTTTGACATGATGAAACATTGAAACTAAAGCTACACAGATTAATGGTTTTCTTCAAGATTTGGAACGTGCTATTCCATTTAACTTAGAATTCAAAAGAACCACATCGGGATATCAAATATCCTTTGCTTCTCTAATGCTAAATATTGTAGACTCAATTTCTTTGGTGGAGTGATTATTTGGTGGGTGATTATCTATGGGATTAGTCAATAATCAAGATACATGGATTAACCCGGACAACCATAATTATATTTTAAACAACAAAAAAATAAGAGAGAGAGAGACGGAAACGATATATATTTCAAAATTACTTATAATAAGTATCAACATGATCACAGACTAGCGGACTCATTGGGTGGGAAAAGAAAACAACGAAACTGACAGACAGAAGTTTTACGAACCATAATCAGCTACTGTCACTGGGCTTCTATCTGATTTCGATTGGACATCAGATTGCAATAATGCCTTCTGCACTTTCTGTGACCAGAAACAGTAGATAAAATCAACTTGAGAAGCGATATATAGTTACAGAAATCTCCAAGAGTACGAGAATAAAAAATCAATCGTAGGAATCGTAACGAACAAAACCCGTGGTCGAAGAAGATCATCAACGTCTCAAACAGAGGAGAAAGAAGGATATGGAAATGTACGATCAAATTGAGAACTTGGGTTTAGGTCATACAACAATCAGAAGAGCCCATTCAAGTCAAACCATGGCTTCACACTCCAAATTGTATTCAATTTCCGATTGAAGATACCCATTTCCGCTCACATTCACAGAATTCCACAGATTGAATAAGAAACGCAGTAGAAAGAGAGAATTGCCTGGCAGAGACGAGCAGCGAGAGAGGCCGCTTTCTTCGCAGCCGCGAGCTCCTTCTCGTAAGACATTGAACAAACCGCTAACGCAACTGGGGAAAACGAGGGGAAACACCTTCTGGTGAAGAAAAGAGAGGCGGGAGGTTTGGACGTAATGGGATTCTGAACTTTGGGTACAATTCTCAACAAATTTATAGCCATTTCTCTCTCTCTCCCTCCTTTTCTTTGGTAATTTTAAGACAAATTTATAGCTGAAAAAATCTCGTTCTTCCCACTGTCACATGATTTTGTCGATTCCTTGGCCATTTGAAGTTGAACGCACAATTTTCTCTGTCGCTAATTCACATTTGCAGATGGTTGTTCAAGAACATTGGCTTATCCTTCTTCTCCTCCATTTGAGATTATTACATTATGGACGAGAGTTCTAACTTCTAACCAAAAGAAAAGAAAAAAAAAAACCCCTAATATTATGATCAAATAAGCTAAGACTAGGACTAAATAAATAATGACTCTTAACTTGTTCTAACTTTGAGGATAAATATGCTATAAACTTTCTATAAAGTTTAATCATCGAATGTTTGAAGTCCTATTTTAAATTTAAAATAAAAAATAAATAAGTATTATTTTATAGTTACAATGCTTTAATTTATTTTTAAAAAATAAATCGTAAATAACTTATTTTATACTGTTTTTATTAAAGATTAAAATACTAATTTGGTAGTGTTTTCACTCTCGGGCGGGAGCTTTTATTTATTTTGATCTTTGTAATTAAAAAATGTTTATTTTGGTAAGGTACTTTCAACTTTGGTTCATTTTAACGTCTGTATTTTTAAAATATTAGTTTTGATCACTGTATTTTTAAAATTAAAGTAGCAATTTTGGTCCTTATTACAAAATGTTAACACAAATTTTACCGGCAATAGAAATTTTTTTAATATGAGATGTTATATAAAATGTATATTAAACGTAGTGTTATGTTGAAATTTTGATATAAAAAATGAGATTAAAAATAAATATAAGTAACTAAGATTTTTACTTTTAAAAAATTACCAGAACTAAAATAAACATTTTAAAAGTACGTGGACCAATGTTGAAAGTTAATTAAAATAAATATTTTGAAAATACGTAAACTATAATTCAAAGTACATTCAACTGAAAAGTATAGGATCAAAATACTATTTCAACTTTTATTAAATTATATATTCAATCGCGAATTAGATATAGGTGAACTAGATCCATTATTGAAAATTCATAACTCAGTGATAATTGACATACACCTCCATCATATAAATTAGTCTGTGAACGCGAACAAACTCCTTCGCCATTACTGAAATTTTTAAAGACAAATACTAATCAACTGAATTTGATTTTTTTTTGGAGGAAAAACTGAATTTGATTTTGTTGTAATTTATAAATATTTTACTAACGTGACTTGTCCAAAAGGGGCCCAGGTCCAAAGGCCGATCAAACATAGAGTGACGGCCCAAGAACCAGACTATTTGGACTATTGAGAACGATTTACTGGGCCAGCCCAATAGTATAAGCCCATTGGGCTTAGGGCTCAGAACGAGCTTCTCAAACTGTATTTTACTCTCGGTTCAGCCTAATGAGGAATGTGAAGAACAGTAACATTCATGGTGATTTGACATATTTTGTGCTTTTTTTTTTCTTTTTCTTTTTCTAAATTGTTTGAATATTGCTTGCTTAGGGTACTGCTTATTACCCACAAAAATCTTGCTTGTTGCCTTAATTCATGTTTTCCTTCCTGTCTTTAGTCTTTACTCCGTTCTCCTCTGTTTCTCCTCTTCATTTATGCCTTCGTCTTCAAGTATTCAATACCATTGCTGGTCTTCACTCAACGACCACATCAAACTCTTTTCCTGCTCCACCGCTGCTGCCCCGTGACCGCCCGCTTGTTCCTTCAAGCTTTCACTTCCCTTAAAGGAAAAAAAGGGAAAAATCAAGCTCGAGTTCTGACCCAAGCGTGCAGAAACATGGGCTTCAATCCAAGAACTGGCTGATGGGTTACCAGACCTGTCAAATTTAGAATTGAGTGCTTCGCTGATCAGTTGTTGCATTCGGAATTTGCATTTCTGGCTCATCGAATTTCATTTCATCTGATGCTCTGTCACCCATTTGAGATAAATTGCTGCGAACTTGTGGTATTTTTTTGTTTTATTGTTTTCCCACCGTGACCCTCGGTTTCGTTTTCTATGGCTCGTATCTGGGCACTGTTAGATAAGGGATAATGAAACTTGGAAATTTGTGTGTTTATTATTCCGAGTAAGGGATTGCTTTTCTTGTAAAAACTTTTTATGAGTGGTCTTATCCATGTGGAAGTAATGGTTGGTTTCTGTTAAGAGCAGTGCTATTAAATTTCATCCGAATGATGCAGGACGCCTTAGGTGGAATAGGAGAAGAGAAAATAAGATAATGTTTAAGCGGGAAAAAGATAGCATGCTCCATTAATTCTCAAATCATATCCTAATCATATAAACTAGTAAAGAGTACATGTAGCAGAAAACTAAGATAGCAAAGAACTCAAAATTATAGTTGAATGATATCTAGATGATGCAGGACACCTCTGGATGTTTTCAATATCTATGATTTTGAGGCTTGAAATTGCTGTACTTATTATGGATGGCGTGTCCAAGAGTAGGCTAGTATGAAAATTTCCTCGTGCTTCTTGGGAATGGGATACTATGTAGCACCTGTAATATCCCCCTTCCCTTCTCCGGTGAGGAAGTAATCATCTAAGTTAGCCTCATAAAATTGACAGGGTTAATTTTTACATTTACACCATTTCCACATCACAATGTCGATAATGATAGTTCTTCTATTAGAGAACTAACCCTTTCACCAAGTCTTCCAATCATGAGTATGATATTCTGGTAATTTTTGGCCTATATATACTACTGGAAAAAATGCATATCTTTCTCCACTAATTGTGACAAGAAATGTAAGCATATGCACTGTAGTGTATATATTTGTGATTATTCTCTTCACTTTTGTGACTGCTTATGACTATACAGTTGTTGAGTCACACTCAATATTGCAGATTGCTAGGAGTTGGAGTTTGATAGCTACATCTTGATGGCTATTGTTGAATCGACACTCGATCTTCAGGTACAAGACCCACCTGAGGAAGAGTTCTATTCGGCTGATTTGACTTGGACCAAGTTTGGCACTGTTGAACACCATGATGATGTGGCTTTGATTCCTTATGCCCGAGTAGATGCTTTTATAATTGGTGAATGTACTAATATAGAGAACCCAACGCGGTTTCATATTGAGAGGGGACGGAAACGGTCAAGGGGAAGCTTGAAAGAGTTCAAGGATGACGAATATTTGGAATATCGACAGTAAGTTAGAGAGCATTTCTTATATTTCTTATTTCTCCTTATATTTATCGTAAAGACCCCCCTATAGTTCTTTGGGGTTTTCCCCCTCTTCTGTAATTTACATAATTTCAATTAAAAAAAATTGGTCTTAATTTGAAAAGAAAAGGAATGCGTGTATCTTAGATGGAGATAGAAGGATGCTACTATGAACATGGAGTATCTTTTTCTCAGTGGAATATGCTTTCTCCATCTTTACTGATGATATCACGAACTACTTATAGCATTATTTCAGTCTTGCATGAAGCATGGTTTAGTTGAAAAAAGGTTCAGCTAATCAATGAATTTATTTTTCATTTAGAAAAATCCATCTGGAGTTTCTGTCATCGAAAAACAAAAAGAAGAAGAAACGTTTGGACAAAATAAACCTTAAATAGGTTTCCCCTCATTATTTCTTTCTATAAGTGCTTTAATTTCTTACATTGACACCCTGCCCCTTTATGCATGTGTCAAGATATTGGTGCTCATTTGGTCCTGAAAATTATGGGGAAGGTGGAAGTATTTTACCTAGTAGAAGATATAGGCTTAACACTCGAAATCGTGCTGCTAGACCTCAATCAATGCGAGGTTGCACCTGTCATTTTGTTATAAAGCGGCTGTATGCTCGTCCATCTCTGGCACTTATAATATATAATGAGAGGCGTCATGTGAACAAGTCTGGCTTTGTTTGCCATGGTCCACTTGACAGAGATGCCATTGGCCCCGGTGCAAAAAAGATCCCATATATTTGTAATGAGATCCAACAGCAAACATTGTCAATGATTTATCTGGGAATTCCTGAGGCAAACATTGTAGAGAAACATCTCGAGGGTCTTCAGAGATACTGTGGTTCAAATGCAAAAGCCAGTAGTCTTGCTTCCCAATATGTTCACAAACTTGGGATGATCATCAAACGATCAACCCATGAGCTGGATCTAGATGATCAAGCTAGCATTCGCATGTGGGTTGAGCGCAATGAAAAATCCATATTTTTTTATCAGGATGCTTCAGAAGAAAATCCTTTCATTCTTGGGATTCAAACAGAATGGCAATTGCAACAGATGATTCGGTTTGGCCATCGTAGCCTCATTGCTGTTGATTCAACGTTTGGCATAAAGAGGCTGAAGGTAATCAGACACGACTTGAATGAAATTCACAAATATTTGTGGATGTGAATCACTTCTGATTTTAGCTAAAATTTAGAGATGCTTGATCTTCCTTTTGTGTGCAGTATCCCCTGTGTACACTTCTTGTGTTTGATTCTAGACAGCATGCACTCCCTGTTGCATGGGTTGTCACTCGTAGCTTTGCAAAATCAGATGTATCCAAATGGATGAAAGCTCTGCTTGATCGTGCTCGTTCTGTAGAGCCTGGATGGAAAATTAGTGGGTTTTTAATTGATGATGCAGCCACGGAGATTGATCCTATCATGTAGGGTGGTCAATGTTGCTCTATTCTCTTTTCTTCATTTTTTTCCTTCCCCTATACTCTGTCAGCATAATTTTAACTAACATAACATGGATTCATTTTCAGGTACATATTTTGTTGTCCTGTGCTTTTTTCCCTTTGGCGCATTCGTAGATCATGGCTAAAAAATGTTGTTAGGAAATGCAATAGAATTGAAGTTCAGAGGGAACTATTCAAACGACTTGGGAAATTAGTGTACAGCGTTTGGGATGGAGTTGATACTTCTGTTGTCTTGGAAGAGCTCACCCGAGATTTTGTTGACCAAACTGCTTTTATGGAATATTTCAAGGGTTCTTGGGTGCCAAAGATTGGTTAGATTTCTTCTATCTCAATCTTTCTCAGCTGACTAGTGAAAAATTGCTAAAAGTAATTGATGAAACACTTAAACGCTTAGAATGCTATATATTTTGATAAACGAAGAGATGGCTCATACTAAAACTTATATGAACTTGGCCTTAAATTTTCCTTTTGTTTATATTATTCTACAGAGATGTGGCTTTCAGCAATGAGAGCTCTTCCACTTGCAAGCCAAGAGTCATCTGGTGCTATTGAGGCCTATCACGTGAAGCTGAAGGCAAAACTGTTCGATGACTCTCATCTCGGTGCTTTCCAGAGGGTAGATTGGTTGGTTCACAAGTTGACCACTGAATTGCATTCAACCTACTGGCTAGACCGCTATGCAGATGAAAGTGATTCATTTCAAAATGTCAAGGAGGAATATATTTCTTCTACTTCTTGGCACCGTGCGCTGCAGATTCCAGATTCTTCAGTTACCTTGGATGATGAAAATCATCTTTCTGCCGAAGTTTTGAGTCAAAATGACAGCAGTGTTTCACGTGTAGTGTGGAATCCTGGGTCAGAGTTCTCATTTTGTGATTGTTCATGGTCAATGCAAGGAAATCTTTGCAAACACGTGATTAAGGTGAATATGGTATGTGAAAATTGCCCAAGTTACAAACCTTCCATGTCTTTACAATCATTTGAGGAGATATTGATGAATATGTGGCAAATACCAATGGATGATTCTGTTGCCTTGGATGTGTCAATGGCTTGGACCCATCAGATTCTAGACCAAATTCAGAAACTAGTTGAATTGAATTCTTCAAATGATATTAGCTCTATGGTAAATAAGCTGCCTTTGAAATGGGCATCTGGGAAGGGAAGAACCAGTTTCAGGAAACCATCATCCACCATGGCTGTTCCACCGGATCCCAATACTGTCAAAAAGGCCCTGCCAAAGAAGAACCGTAAAAGGAAAAGATTGTCAAGAATAGGATAAATTGCCGAACGCATTCGCTATTTTTTCTTTGCACGCGATTCGGACTATGAAAATTGGGTTTAAGAATGAAGTGCATGCATTCGTTGCAGCGTGAATGTCCACATGGAGGCGTTATTCAAGTCTCCCAGTTGAGGTTAGACTTTGACTTAATTCTAAAGCATTCAAAATTCTGTCTGGCCTTCTGCACTATGTTTACATAATTTATGTTTCATCTGTTCAGGTCCTTTAGATACAATTTTGTTTAGGAGGGAACATATATTCCGTTAGGAGTTTGATGCTCTGGAATCTTGCAGGAACATTTATATAGAAAACATTGTTAATATGATCATTTCAAATACCGTGTTCGTTTTAGGTATGCTAGAGCATGAGTAGCATTGTTCAGTTGGCTGATGTAATGTGGTCCACTCCAGAAACTGTAAACTCTGATCTTATCAGTGGTTGATTTCCTGGTTTTTGCCATCATATTGAATGGAAAACAGATTTATGTAAAAATTAGATAGCTGTTTTTCTTACATTCAATCCAATTGCTGAGAAAAATAAAGTGAAAGTTGCTGGCTCTGAAGTTTGATATGTTTTGTAGCTTATCTGAAGGCCTAGGGACGGATATTCGAATCTCTGACTTACGTTATATATTTTAACCAATTGAACTTTACTCAGATTGACGTAGTTATTTGAAGTTGTTCGTTGTTGTGTTCATTTACCTTTTTATTTGAATGGGCAAGGTCTCCTGAGGGGTGGCTCTTTGGGTGTCTTGGTGATGCAAATTTACTCTTTTAGAATATTATCTAAGAATATTTTAATTAGGTGACACATTTTTCTGTGTTTATAAAAATAATAATAACTATTATTGTACTAAGCTTCATATAATTTTTAAAAATAATTATATATAAAAAAAATACTTTCAAAATGCACCAATCAAAATAAAATTTAATTTTTATATTTTTTCTAATCTTCTAAAAATTATCATTTGTTCGAAAGCTTAAATTAAATTAGGACTGTAATGATATAAATAACCGGGACTAAAATAAATTTATTTCTAATGGATTCAAATTTTAATAATTAAAATTACCAATTTGGTCTTTAATGTTTTGGAATTGTTTTTTTGCTATTTCAATTTTAGTCTATTTAATTTGAATTTTGTTTTAATTTGATCTGGTTTGTTAATTCAGCACAACTCAACAGCTCAACTCATCCAATAAAGACACCCATTACTCCCTGAAAGAATGAATTAAGTTTTAGGATTGGGTAGAAAATTGGAAGAAAATGGACAAAATTAAAACATATTAAAATTATAGAGATGAAATAAAACTTTAAAATTGTTTGGAAATGTAGAGGGTAAATTGGTAATCTAACAATTTCTGATTTAATCGATCTCAAATAAAATTCAATATTGTTTTCAAACAATGCTCCCCCGATGGCCATGGCGGCAGATGAACTGGAATTTGAAGCACACGTTTTAGATTTCAAAGTGGGTCCAAAATTGAAGGTCGCCACAGATTTCCATGTCCGAAAGCCCTAATCTCAGCGATGGTTTGCCAATTGGGCGTGAGGAAATCTCACCTTATCCACACTCTCACCACAATCCCTTATCCCAATTCCATCAACGCATCGCTCTTTTATCAGATTCCTCCATTATCCCATTAACAACATCTGACCGCCATTAATTCTCCATTCCACAGTTCCAAACGCAGATTTTGTCTCTAAGTTGCAGAGAGCCATGGCGACCATGAATTCCAGTGTTCTGGCCTGCAACTACGCCATTTCCGGAGCTGGATCGGCCGAGCTCAACTCGAAACTCAGCGCCGCGCCCTGCGTCGCATCGCCTGGGGTTGCTGGTTACAAGTTGCCTGCTATTAGGGCTCAACAGGCTAGGGTTCCTGAAGCCAAGAATGATGGAAGGAGAACTGCGCTTCTTTACCTCGGAGCCACTCTCTTTGCTGCGGCTGCGGCTGCCTCCAACTCCAATGCTAATGCAGGAGTCATTGAAGAGTATCTTGAAAAGAGTAAAGCTAACAAGGTAGCTATTCTGCTAACCAGACTATTATATGAATAATCTTTGTTTTAGATTCTATTCTGGTCTCTGAACTATAAATATGGTATTCAATTCAAAATTTGTTATTATGCTTTCAAATATTCTGTTCTGTCCCTTTGACTTGGCATAAAAATGCATCTAGTTCTTGTTGCTAAATCTCCATAGTACATGGAATAAGACTCTCATTGTGTACTTTGTCTTCCCTGTCCAACTCCAGAATCAGAACCTTGATGATTAGAGAAGAGTGAGTGATGGCTTTTTCACATTGAATCACAACCATTTCCCTCACTGTACTTTATCTTAGGATTATTGGGTCTGCAAAAGGCCGTTGAATGCCATGCAAAACTTTAAAGAGAATGAGATAAATCATTTCGAAGTATAAGGACTAAAAGAGAATAAGAATGGATGCTTCCTTATAAATCTGATCATATTAGAGTTCGGCAAGAAGTATTCGGTACTACAATCGTTGGAGGAACAATACCTCAACTTGAAGATACTCCAGAATCTCCTTTAGAATCTTTTCGATTTCTCCTTCGATGAAACTAGGATTTGGATGAAAAGTATATGGTGTTTCTAATTCTAACCTTGTTATTGCAATAGGAACTGAATGACAAGAAAAGATTGGCAACTAGTGGAGCAAATTTTGCAAGGGCATACACTGTTGAGTTTGGAACATGCAAGTTCCCAGAGAACTTCACAGGGTGCCAAGATCTTGCAAAACAAAAGGTAAATTTACAATCACTTTCTGCTTTGAGATGTTGACAACATGGTAATGTGTTTTTGTTGAGTACTAAGTTTCTGTGATTTGGGTTTTGATGGATGCAGAAAGTTCCATTTATCTCTGATGATTTGGCTTTGGAGTGTGAGGGGAAGGACAAGTTCAAGTGTGGTTCCAATGTGTTCTGGAAATGGTGAAGAGAAGACAACAATTTGAAGTCTTTGTATCCCTCACCATTGCTCACTCTTCCTTTGTATCTAATTTTCAACTTAAAAAAAAAAAGTTTGAAATTTTATTGTCTCTTTGGGACTTAATATTCCAATTCCATTGCTTTCTTTCTTCTCTTTGAGACAAAAAGAAGCCAAACGAGTAAGTAGGAACCCTAGACATCATACATGCATTTAATTAGGTTGAAAAGGGTGCGAAAAAAATACCGTATTGTACGAGCTACCAATTGTAGCATATTTTTATTGACTCAAGAATTTTAGTGGGATTCATTTATCTATTAAATGTAATGGAAATAAATGAAACAAAATGCGCTATATTAGAAAGTGAACTAATTTATCGATGGAAGTATTTTTTTTTTTTGTCTAAAATATAGTTTTTTAATTAAAAAAATGTTTTTAGGAACAATTTTGATTATTGTAGGTATGGATATAAAACCAACCAATAGGAAAACAATGTGAGTTATCCAAACATGTCTTTTATGGAATTTTTATTTTAGAAAATCCTAAGTCTCTCTAAGACCTTCCTCATTTAACCTATCCAAATTCCAAATGTATTATATATTCACAAGATCTAAACGAATTTTTGCTACAAATAACATCAAAAAAAAAAAAAAGAGTAATAAGAACACTAGAATCTGACATTAACTTGAGCAAAATTAGAAAACATATCTTTTAAATATTGTTTCAATATATTCTAAAATTGTTATTCATACCAATTTCTAAAACTATATTTTTATTCTATTTCATTTTAAATTTTGTTTGAAAATGTATCCTTTTTTAATAAAATAAATATAGTACAGAGAATTTGAACATTAGGGAATAAATAACTATCTTAGCCATATTTTTTTTAGTACAACAAATATTAGGTGGAACTTTGAACAAAAGAAAAATAATAAATATCTTCACAGTTGAGCTATACACATGATGATATAAGTGCATTAACAATTGAATTATATTCATATTAGTTTCAACTTAAGTTATATTTAAAAAAATAATTAATAATTATCGTAGGTAACAATTTATCTCCTATCCAAAATTTTAATATTAATGTCAATGGAAATGTCAGTTCAAATTTACGGAAATAGAGATGAAAATTTCAAATGTTGACGTCAATAAATATTTCTGAAAAAATTCATAACAAATACTTAAATTAACGAATAACATTTCATTTTAAAATAAGTAAAAATATTATTACTATTAATATTATGTCTGATATTTTATTTTTTATATTTTTATATTTTTCGTGATACTGTAGAAATAGACTCGTCACTCCTCACATGAATGCTTCTAATGGCGCGCAACGGGTGAAAAGTGTACTCTTTTAGTTGCCTCTAAACAATTTTATGTCGCCCTGTTACCGAGTTCGTTAATCAAGAACTGATTTGTATAAATATATACACTAATTAAATTCATTATCAAATGAATGTTTGGTTTTAAAATTTTAAAGGTTCTAATTTTCTTTGAACAATCTCTCTCTCAAATTTATACAGCGGCTTTTTTCGTTTTGTCGATATGTGGTTTCGATCATTGCAGCTTTATCTGTGTTCCCAATTGCCCATTGAATGTGGTGACTGGTGAGGGATATTTATACCCCACAGGCTCATCTCTCTCCCCTTTCCGCCATGGCTTTCTCTGCATCTCTTTCTCACAGCTCTTTCTCATGCCTCACTCACTTCTCCCAAAATTTTAGAAGAAACCCACTTCATTTTCATCCCATTCGAGCCGTGAAATCCACTGAGCCGGAGCAGAAGGCATCGGAGGCCAAAACCCAGGAGCCTTCAAGCTCAAGCTCCACCGCCGCCTCTCCTAAGCCTCCCAAGAAACCCGTCTATTCAAGTGAGAGTTTCTTTTGCTATTCTGCTTCATCTCTCGTGAATTTGACGGTTCAATTTAGATTTGTTAATTTTGTTTTTATGTGCTTTATGTAGTGAAGAAGGGTCAGATTGTGAGAGTTGATAAAGAGAAGTATCTTAATAGCGTTAATGTAAGTAGTTTTCTGGATTCTTTTTGTGGTATTGAATTGGTTTTAAACATTTATATTGTCAGGGCAAGAAATTTAATGCAAAATCCACAATCCAATGCAATGTTACTCAAGCTGGGAGAAATATTCTTCATAATTTGCTTCATTTCTTGTTATTTGTGTTTTAGTAATCATTAAATCTCCAATCCATATGTATATCCCTGTTTCTGCCTATGGCATGCAAAATCTAACAGAAGGAGTTGAGAGATATTTATCAATGATTTCATGGGAGGAGGAATGGGAGAAAGAAAAGAAGGAAACAGAGGAACAATCCTCAAGTGATGAACTATAACCATTAACAAAATAGTACAAGAAAATATGAAGGTGCTTCTAGATTGGGATTCTGTTCATAAAATGGAAGTAATTAGGGAGTGGACTATGCCGATTCTATCTATCAGTGTAGGATTCGGTTAGGCCACCAATTGTAGAAGTATTTGAGATAAAATGGTAAAATGGGGAACGGCACCCTTGGGAGTTGGCTGGCTAGGCTGCGTACAAACTTTATATAGTAAGGGAGAAGTTTAGTTTTATTATTTATGTGCTTCCTGTCAGCTGACTTGTGGATGAGGAGAGACGTTAGCTAACTTAGTAGTAGTAATACAAAGAGATACCTGTCAATTTGGAGCATAACAAAGGAAGTTGAAGGATTGGATGGAGTTGATGGAAAAGGTAACGGGGAGGAAGGCAAAGGTTGGTATGTCTTCGATGAGTGTGGTATTGACGTACATTTTATCTCAAAAATTGGGAGACCGTGAGAATAGTTTACTTGATGACTTTGTTTCGATCTCTTGAACTTGAAGAAGACTTCAACCATTCAAATTTATTTTCAAAGGAATGAATCGTGAAACTTAGAATTCTTGACCCTTTTTCCTTCTAGCGAGTGTGATCTGAGTTTCACTTGAGTGCTTACATTTCTAATGACTTCTGATAAAGGTGTATATTTTTTATTTTATCGTAAGGATGATCAGTCCAAAACATTTGATTGAGTCAATAGCAAGTTCTTGGTGCAAAATGGGTCAGTTGGTCTTCCATTCACCTCATTTACCGAGTGCTCTTGAAAGAGATGGGTATCATTAAGACCATGGACACAGGTGGTGCGACTCTCATCAGGTTGTGTTGTACCCTGTTGCATTAGTCCTGAAATGACCGAACCTTTGTGTTTAGTTATTATTGTTGAGATTGGGACTATAAGCAAACTGCCTGTAATAAATTGTAAGAGGGTGAAGAGGTCATCTACCTAAGAATTAATATCCTATGGGTTACCTTTGACAACCAAATGTAATAGTGTTAGGTGGTTGTCTCGTGAGATTAGAGGTGCGTGAAAGTTAGTTTAGACATTCATGAATATAAAAAAAATTCGAAGAAGGTGAGGATAGTTTCAAAGTCATCAAGGCCCTCAGTAGGTTGAAGTAGTCTCGAATCGTTGCATATGGAAGGGTGTATAAGAAGAAGAAGGCTAATGTCTTGTTCATCTTTCTGCCATGAAAAAGGTATAAAGAAAGAAATGGAAGTCCAAAAATGAGAGGAAGAAATATAAAAGTGAACGGCCCCTATTGAAGGGTTATAAGAGTTTAAGTTAATCAAGAGAAACCTATCTAGGGGGGATTCAGTACAAGTAATCAAGCGAAATAGTGGAGCTTCAAGGCTTGTCTTGGATTCACATCATGTAACAAAAAAAGTGATCTTATTGAGAATTCAATGTCTTACTTCATGACTATTCGAAAATAAAACAAGAGAGTAGTAGTCTAACAAAGAGTTTGGTCTGTAAGCACTTCTCTAACTGGCCTGTCTACAAGTCATATATCTAGTCAGAGACGCAGTTTTTGCAAAAACTGTCTTAATGACCGTGTGTTTGCTAATTAACTTGATTAAACATCTTCATCACCATCAAATTTTAGAACACAAACATAATGCTAGTATTAAGGAATGGAATGAAATATTAACCGGGTTTCTCATTTCTCAAATTGATCAGGCAGAATTTTCTTTCATCGCCTTTGGATTTATGACATACAATGATTCATTTTTTGCTCTTTACCATTAGTATCTATCCGTTGGACATCCACCTTATTTCAAGGGCTTGGACTACATTTATGAAGACCGTGGCGAGGTCAGTTTACTACGCTGATCTCACTCAAACCTGTTTAAAATATTAGGGATTCTTTTATGCGAAATCTTTTGGTGTCTATCTTCCTTCATCAGGTATTGGATATTCGCATTTTTGAGACAGGAGAATATGCACTTGTAAGTAGTTTTCGTTACATGCTTTTTCTTGTCTTTTTATTTGCTATTAGATCTGTTAGACATCCACCTTATTACAAGTTCTATCATTTCTACCATGGATTGAGTCAGGGCAATTTCAAGTCTTCCTTCTCTTCCAAAACCTATCAAAATAGTGAGAAAGAAAAAGTGAAAATAGCTAAAAAAAAATGGATGTTTCCCTTGATTAACTTTGCAAATGCATTGTTTGTGTTACATTTTTACTCAAAATTCTTGTGCAGATTGCATGGGTTGGTGTTCCAACTGCACCAGCTTGGCTGCCTACAGACATGCTTATAAAGGTATTTATTTAGAGCTTTTCTAAAGTTTCCAATAAGTGAGATCATATATTTAAACATTAGAATCATAGATAGCTGAAGGAAACTTAGCAATATAGGTAAATTCTTACATAAAAATTACCCTTCATTAGTTCATCTTAACTAACAAAACGAGAAATCATTAAATGAATTTCTTAAGAGTAGCATCAGCAATGCAGAAAGGTCATTGACCTTCTTCTGAAAGGAGGTTGCCAATGGAGATAGAGAAAGATGGGTCTCGAAAGTAGATATTGCAATTTTTATTCTTCACTGTGTGTTTTCTTCTTCCTTTTAAGAATCAATGGGATATGAGAAAGAGAAAAATGGGTGCTCCTAGTAGCAGACATACTCTCATTGTTAACAACTTGATAGGAATGGCCTTAGGGACAATTAGAGATATTATTAGGATATTGAGGGTACCTTAGTAATTAGATAGGGAAGTTGTTAGAGATAGTATTATAAATAGAGTGAGGGTGTAAAGAAGGTATCCAATTAGTGAGTATGGTTTTGGCTTGAGTAAGTATACTCAAGAGAAGGGAGGGTCCAAGTACATCGAATTACTCGGTAGTTATTGTAGTTCTTATATTTCAATTATTTCTTGTTCGGGTTCTATCACAACTTTGCATTCCTTCTCTTTGATACATCAGTTTTAAGATTCAAGAGGTTAAAGATTCAAACCCAGAGCAACGGGCGAGTTTAATTAGAAGTACTTTTAGTGTTGACCATTTGTTGCATTTAGTTCTGATATCTCTACCTGCTTTTTTCTGGCAGTCGGAGAAACTCAACTATGAAAGACTCTAATCACAGCTTTGAATCAAAGATGCTCACTACTTGGTTTGTTTATAGTTTACACCTTTCCATATCTCTGTAAAGATCTTGTGTAGTTACCTCAAACGCCATTAAAAATTCATCACAAACCTTTCCTTATCTTGATGATGCTTCTGTTGATATTTAACATCAGATTATGTATTAGGGAAAAAAAAATAATATATGCAACAAGGGTTGGAAGACACTTGCAGAATATCTAGTTTGAATTCTGATCTAAGTTAATCATAGCAAGTTATAAACCAAAACTTATTACATATACAGACCACCTTCCCTTTACAAGGACCAAAAAATATTGTGACAACTTACAAGATTTCTCTAAGAAAAAACTTCTTATCCCCCCAGTTTTTAAAAAGTTTTAACCCACCACCAACTACCCTTCTTTCAAGTGCTGATACATGATTAACTCAAATCTCTCTTCACAATAAACTTTCAGAATTTCCATTAGAAAGCCTCAGTGCTTACATATTTTTTGATACACAAGGGATAAAATTACACCTGGGGATGTGGGGAGGATATTTCTCCCTTTCTCATGAAACTTTTTGTCATAGAGGTCTTGTTCTTGTTCTTGGTGATCCACTATGGGTCTGCACTTTCAATAGTGATGATTCCCGTAACGGATCGAGCGTGTACATTGTGCTTGGTCTCGTGTTGTATGTGTATTCGTTCAAATTGTAACCACTTTGACCCAGCCCAGTGTAAGAAGTGTGGGGTGGTGAAAGATAACAGCTCTGGTGTGCGGGGCCATACGATCGTAATGGACTCGAACATGGTGACACGGGCAATGAGGTGATCAATCTTACATTTCCTCTGTACATAAAGCATGCATCAAACTAAAATTTAGTACATGGTCTCGGGCCAGGGCGAGATTATAGAGGGAAGGATAGGATGTTTAGTACCTAGGACTCCTCAGAGCTCTCGAAGAGATCATCGGGTTTGTCACATAATCTCCATCACATATGCTTATACTTTTTCTGTTTGGATGCTGATCTAACAACGGCTGCATGTAGAGTTGCAGAGATTTCAACTTCAAGGTCAACTTATGTAAAGGTAAACAGATTAAGCAGATAAATCTATTCAATAGGTTGAAATGCATGCTACTAATCGAATCAGAAGTTCTTCTGAAGTCTTCAATACCAATGCCAAAATATTGTAACAAAGTTTTCTTCAATCGAATTGGTAAGCCGGGTCAAGCAATTTTTCTATTAGCGGTGATAGCCCTGTCTCTTATACACATCTGTATTTCGTAGCCCTTTCATTTTCTTTAATCGAATTGGTAAGCCGGGTCAAGCAATTTTTCTATTATTCAGAGAAAAAGAAAAACATCATGACTTCATCTTGCCTTTGTGATTCTAAGTAATCCAAGTGATGTCAAAAGGCTTACCGGGGTCTGGCATCCATCGAAGCTAAAGGGAAATGCATCCAAGGTAAAGTTGACATCGGATATTCTTGGTGTTACTGCATCTTGAACAAAAGGGTGATCCAGTAGCTCTGCAGCAGTAGGACGTGCAGATGGATCCCGTTGCAAGCATAGTTGCACGAAATTTTTAGCATCATAGGAAAGATGGTCCGGAATTTCAGGAATATCTTTGCTATTCCCAATTTTGAATATGGCAGCTACCTGTCAATTCCAAAATACAAGATGAATTTGGCCCCAGATTTTTAATGAAAATTTTAAAAGCAATGTTCAAGGAAGATGTCGCACCCCTTCGTACTTGCTCCATGGCGGTTTAGACGTTGCCATTTCTAGAACCGTACACCCTAAGCTCCAGATGTCTACAGCGAGACTGTAGCCATTCGTATTCATCACAACCTGAGATTCCACAACCAGAAACAACTATAAAGATGGATACAGCTCAGGCGTACAGGTAAAAGAAACAGTTCGATACAAAATAAAGTGAAAAATATGGAGGGACATCAGTTTTCACAAACTAGAAGACAATATTATGCGTCTCATTTCTTTCTTCCTTTTCATTTATTCTCTTTCTTATACCTCGCTTTTTTGTCTGTTATTTAAAGCAGGGGGAGTGGAATGGAGTAATGGAAAGTACCTCAGGGGCCATCCAATAAGGACTACCTTTGAAAGATAGCATTGAAGTACAATTCGATATCTGTTCCAACAAAGAAGAAAATAGAAATTCTAAATCAATCAAATTGTAAAAACATTTGACATCAGAAATTAATATCCAAAAATAAATCTAGTGTTCTGCTTATTTTTAAAATGTGGATAAGTTAAGGACAAGAAAAGAGTAGCAATATTATTCAGTTTGGAGGAGAAGAGTTAAATTACGTACATGTTTAGCCATGCCAAAGTCCACCAACTTGACCCCGCCATTCGGATCGACTAAGATATTTGCCCCTTTAATGTCCCTGCCATGAGAAGTATATTCCATAAATATCTGAAAGTAAAAGAGAAAATACCCTTTATTCCAGACAAGGACCCACAAATATGAAAAGTAAGATTCATGAGCAGTATTTGCAACCAAAATACCTATGCACTGTATTTCTCCCATGCAGATAAGCAAGCCCAGAAAGAATCTTTCGCGTATAGTTTCTTATAACAGGTTCTTTGAAGGCACCATATTCTTGTAGTAACTTGTGGATTGAACCACCCGAAACGTATTCTAAATAGACTGAGAGCGACTCGTCTCCCTGATAGTGCAAATTTATCACATGAGATTGGACTATTTCGAAAACTTAGTTTTACAATCTGATTCAGAAGTTTTGTTTGCACGCAAATTAGTGTGCAGTATTATTAGATATTAGCCTTCAATCATACTTACCATTTCACTACCGTAGTACTGGACGATGTTTGGATGCGACAACTGACTGAGCAAGGTTATCTCCTGTTAGACAGAGTAATTGGTTAGAACTACACCAATTATCAAGATAATAAAATGTACAGATTAAAACCCATAGTCAGTTTTTAAAGAACAATAGACAGAAAGTAGGCATAACAAAGAAGTAATCACCAATACACTCACAAACTAAAAAAGAAGAATCACCTGGTTTAATTGCTTGAGACATTCTTTTGATGTTGAGTCATCACTTATAAGCCTAACCTCCTTAATTGCACACATTTGGCCACTTACACTATAATTAATTCAAGAAAATGGATTAGAGAAGTAATATCATGGAGAAATTGGGTGCTATCTCATTAACTCCATATTTCAGCAGGTCAACTCCTGAGTAGTTTAATTCATTTTATCAACAAAGCATGGGAGAAACCAAGTTTTATATGAGTACAACATCATGTTTTTATACCGAGTATCTCGGTCAATCATTACAGCACATCTCAAAATGGCAAATGTCGTTTTGGTTCATCTATTGCTAGAGGGGAACATGAAAATATATAAAACAAAATAACTGATACCTGTTAAATCCAAGGTAAACGTGCCCAAATGTTCCCCTCCCTAAAAGCCTTCCTTTCTGCCACTTTGATTGTGTAGTCGTATTGGTGTCACCCAAATTCATGGCTCGTGTGCTGGTCAAGGAAGAAGGGCTGGTTGGATTACTACTTGGAGGAAGCGGAAGCTTATGACATCGACTCTTCCCATCATCTAGTTTGCCCGTAGGAGACTCCAGACTCATGCCGCTGAGCCGTGGGTTGAGAGGTGATGTAGGACTGGTGGGTCCTCTTGATCCTGGCCCTGGACTTCTCGGCCTTGTCTCTATTCTGGTATCGCCAAATCCTCTGAATAAAATTTCAAACACAGGACTAAAATTACCAAAAGTATTCTAGAGGGAAAGCTGAAATTATTCTTCTGAGTAGCCATTACTTCTAATCTCTCACCGATAGGACTATTGAACGTTCTCTAAAAAACAAACTGTGAATTCTTTTCGTTCCCAGTTGAGAGAAACCTTATGAAGCAGTCACAAGTAGTTGGTTTGAAAATGGAAGCATGAAACAGTATTAGCTACAACTTAGAAACCACGTGAAGCTGAAGCCCAGATTTTCATAACAAGTTTGAAACAGAAACTATTTGATACCAGCCATTAAAATTCTCCATTTCACCAAGAACTTAACAGGAAGAGAAACTGCTAAGCATACAGAACTAAACAAAAAACAGAACAAAGTTAGCACACAGATATAAAAAAACAGGTTGTATAACCACGCGGCTCAGTTTCAGACATCAAAACAGGAAACAAGACAAAAGATGTAAAGATCCCAAAACTGGTTGTATTTAATTTAAAATTCTCGGGATAATAGCCCAACTTCTTTAGCAGAAGATTACAGAAACAGGGGAATCTTCAATCTGTGGAAGTACTTCAGGTTCACGATAGGATCTCAAATCAGAACTACTAAATAAGCCATCTCCAGCCAAAACCCTAATATAATCCCCAACTCCAAATTCCCAAAAATCCCAATATCAGAACACGGAATTACTATTACAGATAAGCACCGAATCCGAATCAGAAACCTTCCGAATAAGAAACCCACCTGGAACCTCCAAATTGAAGCTGTTCGTGAGCAGATGGATGGTCATCAGAAGACCCAGAAGAGCTAACACTGGAAACGGAAGCCGACCCCGATCCAGTTCCGACTCCATGATCAATCCCAAGGACGGAGGTATTGGGTCGAGGAAGAGGATGACTCTCATCCCCACTATTGGAGTCAAACCCAGAAAACCCAGAGGAGGCGCCGCCGCCGGAAGAGCCCAGATCCCTGCTAGACCTCGGGGAATTGCGGGAGAAAATCACAGCAGCGACCTCATCGAAGCTCCTGGGCCTGTCGCTGACCGTCTTAGGCTCGGTTTTGGGGGAGGAAGACTTGGAGAAGTTGAGAAAAGAAGTGGGATGATGATGGTGATGATTATGCTGCTCCTTGTTTTTACTGAATTTTCTTACCCACCAAGCAGGCATGGTAGTAGAGACTATAGAGAAGGAAATCAGCGAAAACCCACGAAAGAAAATCAGAGATAAGAAGAAGGGGTGTGAATAGAATTGGAATTGGAGTGGTGGGGTGGGAGGAAACTCAAAGAGAGAGAAGGATATGAAAAGGGTTGCTGTTGTTGTTGGATGACATGTCTTGTTCCAATCCAAAGGAAGAAAACTTGAAGAAGGAAGCTGAAAAACAGAGAGAGAGAGAGAGAGAGAGAGAGAGAGAGAGAGAGAGAGAGAAACAGCTAAGAAAGAGAAGAAAGAGATGGAGGAGAGCAGTGAAATGGGGGGACGGCAGGCGGTGGTTGGATAAAGTGGGGGAAATGATGTGGCAACTTCATGGGAGGGCTTTAGAGAGAGAAACAGAGAGCGTGTGAAAAAAGGGGTCACTGTGAGTTGTGAGTGTGAGTGCTCTTTCTTTGTTTCAATGGTCTTCCGTGTGAGCCAGTTGGCTTGGCGCCGAGTGAGAAGAGAACCTTCTCCTTGTTTCTTTCTCCTTCGCACGCACCACAAAGTTTGGGATTTTTCTTTTCTGAAAAGTGAACTTTTTTCACTGAAAACAGAGGAAAATACCTGCGTCTCAAGTATGTGAATGAACTATCCTCCAAAAACAACTCCCTCTCTCTCCACTAAATATTTTGACAATTTATTATTATTTAAAAAAAAAGTTTATATTTTTACCTTTCTCGTTTAATGATGTGTAGGAAGTAATTTCTACCATAACTATTGTCACCAATATTTAACAGACTAAGATTACAATCATCGAAGTTGTGAGAAATTATAGACTGTGGTGGCATAGTAGGAAGATGATGAAAATATAATAACATTAAAAGAAGAGAAAAAAAAGACATATCGACATTTGAATCAACATGTCGACATTTTGTCGATATGTCGATGACATGGGTAAAATTGACTTTTCCCCCCTATATCCATGTCGAGACATGTTGCTCGACATTTTGAACCCTGGTATAAATATTAGAATAAGCTATTAATATTTTGAACGAAAAGTTCAAAAAGAAAGGATTTATGTGGAAGAAAGCGAAACTATCATTTCTAAAAAAAAGTCCATTTATATATAACTTTACCCTAAATTCTCCTTTTAAAAATAATAACTACTTAGTCAAAACTAGCCTAGGTCAGTAATTGGCATATATCTCCAATCTCGTTTTAGATTCTTTCACATCAATTTTCTTTTCAAAATATTAATGCTTAAATAATATTTTTGAAATGTTTATAAAAAGTCTAGTATTGAATTTTTTTAAAAAAAATATAAGAATATGTTTAAAACAAATGACAAAGTGTTTTTTTTTATTTGGCCTAAAATTTAAGTTAAAGATAAGATTATGGTCTAATTAAGTAATCAACTTTTTAAAGGAAATTTATCTTATACCTTTTTTTTGGAGCAACAAAGAAAATTTTTTTAGGTGTGATATTATTTTTTGTTGACTCCAAATGGAAAAAGTGAATTAACTAAAAAACAAACTCAATCAAATTAATACCTCTTCAAAGTTAAATTTTAAAAATGAATCCCATCTGAAAATTATACAAAATTTAACCAAAGAAATTCCCAAAATCAAGGTTAAAAAAACCCCAAATCCAATTATAAAAATATCTAAACCTAATAACAAAACCAAACATATAAAAAGTCAATTAAACTCAACATTAAAATGCCAAACCTCATTATTAAATAATATATATATTTATATATATATATGTAATACCACCTAAGGATACTCTGTCCATCTAAAAAACACTTACAATTAGTTAAAGAAAATATGATAAACTAATAGAAGATGTTAAAATCTCGCCATTCATTTAAGATTAGAGTAGGATTTAATGAAAATAAAAATCTTAAATTAAATTTGGAATAACAATTTTAAAATTTAAAATAAAAAATAAAAAAATTAGACCCTGACAGCGTTGACTTGGAGAAATGGGATTGGACTTGGGACAAGGGATTTCCGTCTCACACGTCTTTTTCTATTTTCTATTTTTATTTATTTATTTTTGTTGGTATTAGATTTATTGCGAAAATTGACGCTAAGTTACGTCGTCAATGTACGGAAAACCCACGTCAACAATACACAATA